TACCTTCACCACACTATTGTCTGTGTCCCTTGAATATCCATATATGGATATAAGTTCCCCAGTTAATCTCTCACCACCCCACCCCCCTATCCCCACCTTCCCTCTGAAATTCATCTGTTCCATGCTTCTATGTCTCTGGATCTATTTTGTTCATCACTTATTTTGTTCATTAGATTCCACATATGAGTGAAATCATGTGATACTTATCTTTCTCTGACTGTCAATTCTTTTTAAAAATATGTTTTAGGCTCTAATTTCTTTCTCCTTTCTGGGATTCTAATTACATATATTTTAGACTTTTGTTATATTCTCACATGTCTCAGGGGCTCTGTCCATTTTTTTTGCTTCAGGTTTTTTTCTTGTTCTTAAGTTTGATCTTAACTTTGGCATTATTAACATTTTGGGCTAAATAAATTTTTATTGGTGGGAGGCTGTTTTATAAATTGAGGAATTTTGGGAAGTACCAGGCCTTCAAAGGAGGGCATCTAGGGGATGAACCAGGCCTACAAGGGAGGGCAGTTAGGGGCGATGACGTTGGCAGGGGAGGGCAGTTAAAAAAGATCCCAGGGTTTCTACTCACTAGGTGCCAGTACTGTGCCCTTAAGTTGTGGTAAACAAATGTGTCTAGAGTTGGGAAATGTCTTCCTGGGGAGAAGCAGAGTCATACTTGGGTGATAACTGCTGAATTAGATAATTTATACGGATTTATTTTGAAGTTCACATACTCTTTTCTCTATCATCTTTATTCTACTATCGAGCCCTTACTCTAAGATTTTATTTCACTTATTGTATTTTTAGTCCTAAAATTTCAATGTGCTTCTTTTTGTAGGTTCTATTTCTTTGTCAAGAATTCTTTTATCATTAATTTTATTAACCTAAAATAAAAGGCCTTCCAAAGAGAGAGGTAACAAGCATTTATTTAATATCAATAAAAATAGCTACTAGGAATACACTGATTCAGGCAGAAGCCCAAACAGTGTTTCAATTAGAAGCCGAAGTCAATGGGTATTTATGGGAATGGGAAGCGTAAACAACTACATCATGGAAGGAAGCAATTGCTATTGGTGTAGATGACATACATAGTGAAATTAATTCTAAACAATTAAAAAACTTTTTTTCAGGCCTGGAGTCACCAGCCTAGTAGTCATAAATAACTATTTGCTTGTTATTTTTGTAAAAACATCATTGGGAAACAGGGTGACTTTACTAATTTACCCAGTTTAAAAGTTATTTTCCCCTTTTTAACATTCTGAAGATTTGAGGCATAAGATGTGCAAAGCAGTTCCTCTGGGATGACAGATTTGGCTCCACTTTATATTATTTTGATAATTTCAAATGTGCTTCCTTTTACTTCATGGACTATAATTAAAAGGGTTGCTTTTACTCTTTTCTATTAGTTTTAGTTCTATGAGTTTTATCTTAATCATCTTGACAATTGCATCTGTTGAATATATATATATATATATATATATATATATATATATATATATATATGTGTGTGTGTGTGTGTGTGTGTGTGTGTGTGTGTGTGTTAATTTTATTTATTTTTTAAAAATATATTTTATTGATTTTTCACAGAGAGGAAGAGAGAGGGATAGAGAGTTAGAAACATCGATGAGAGAGAATCATTGGTCAGTTGACTCCTGCACACCCCCTACTGGGGATGTGCCCGAAACCAAGGTACATGCCCTTGACCGGAATCGAACCCGGGATCTTCCAGTCCGCAGGCCGATGCTCTATCCACTGAGTCAAACCGGTTTCGGCCTGTTGACTATATTATACTTAGATACATATTAGTCATTTTTTTCTGGTTCTTTGTGTTAAAAGAAAGAAACAGAAGGTAAAAAGTGAAGTTGCTTGCCCCCAGGACTACAAACTAAAACTTAATTGAACCAATCAGTCTGGAATCTCTAATCAATACTACTGAGGAGCTTTGCATGATAGGACCCTTGCACCTCCTGCTACTCAAGAAAGCTGACTCTGCAGGAAACATTTATTTCTTCTTTTGCCACTTCATTTCTTTTCTTTCTCTGTTTATTCCTATAAAAAGCTCCCATTTTGTACAAGTCTTAGCATACCTCTCTCTCAATTTGCCTCATTAGATGCTTCTCAATTCATGAATTGATTGGTAAAACCAATTAATTCTTCAAACTTACTTAATTGAATTTTGTTTTTTAATATTTGTATGTTGAATAATTTTGGAATTCATTTTAAACCTTTTAAATGTTATGTAGTATAAAATTTTTTTTATTAAAAAATATCATCTGGAGATTTTTGTTTTAACAGGAAATCAAACTAGTCCAGAAGGAGGAGGAGGAGGAGAAAGAGGGAAAAGAAGAAGACGAAGACGAAGACGAAGACGAAGACGAAGACGAAGACGAAGACGAAGAAGAAGAAGAAGAAGAAGAAGAAGAAGAAGAAGAAGAAAGAAGAAAGAAGTTGTGTCTCTCCTTTTGTGAGTGGTTGCTCAAATCTCAGTTCAGTTCTCTAACCCAGTGTTTCCCAACCTTCTCTCATGATGAGAATCACCTGGTGGAGTTGTTAAACCACAGATTCCTGAATCCCAACTAAGAAGTGCTAAACTAGAATTTTTGGGAACATATAGGTAAAATTGTATACTTAACTAGTGCTCTAAGACAGATTTTATATACAGAGCACTAAGTTAGGTGCTCAAAAATTCTAGTTTAGCACTTCTTAGTTGGGATTCAGGAATCTGTGTTTTAACAACTCCACCAGGTGATTCTCATCATGAGAGAAGGTTGGGAAACACTGCTCTAACCTTTTGTTATGTTGGTTTGGGTCTTTCTCCATCATGCGTAGTTCAGTGATTAGTAAGAAACTTGTTTGGGTGAGGGGGTCTAACCTCAGGTCAGTTTCTGAAACTGCTACTACATTGGTTTGAGTCTATCCTGCACATGTTCACTCAGAAGTTACTAGTAGTCTGAGACTTGGACAGTGGTTCACATCGCACATTTGTTCTCCTGCTGTGTCCAATTTTGGGATTAGCCTGGCACTTAACCTATTCTCCATGTTATTCATTAGTATGTTTCTTTCAATTTTAGCTTTGTGTTTTGTCACCTTGCCATCAGCAGTCTGACATCACAGAAAAGCCCCCGTCCCCAAAGTGTAAAATTTATCTTTTGGTAGGTTGCTTTTCCAATTTTTGACTCCCCTCCACAATATGCCTGCTTTTGTATAATTTTTAGAGTCCACTTGAAAATGAGAATGCTTACTTGTTTTTGCCCATGCCTTAAGTACTAAATTTTTTTTTGAATAATGCATCAACTTCTAAGAGCATGATAGATATGCTATGACTGGTCAAAGATTATGTCTTTTCAGTGCCTAAAACAGTTTTGTTTAAAATTTCCCCTCTATCTGTTTTTAAAAATTTAAAAATATTTTCTTGTTTTTAATGGACCATAGTTTATGGTGTTCTCGGCTGTCTGTGGAGACTCTTTAATGTTTCTGGCAATCAATATACAGTATGCATTTCTTATAATCCTGTCAAAATCTTTACCTGAGGATATTTTTTTATTGATTTTTTTTTAAGATAGAGAAAGCGACATCAATGTGAGAAACATTAACTGGTTGCCCAACTGGGGACTGAACCCTTAACCTGGGTATATGTCCTGACTGGGAATCGAACCTGCTACCTTTCGGTCCAGTCAACCGAGCCACACCATCTAAGGTCCTGTCAAAATTCTTAAAGGAGAACATTCCATTTATGATGTTATTCTTTTTCAACTATAAGATGATTCTTTTACTGCCATTAAAAACTGGAAAATTCCTTTGCATTCTTCCAGTTCAGAGGAAACAGCACTGTGCCAAGGCACCAAAAAACCCTGTGGCCTTTGACTGTGTACATGCTGGAGTTTGCCAATGCCCAGCAACACTGACAGGAGTTGAAATGACCACCACCCTGAAAACCAGCATGGATGACTCATCATAGCTTTTTTTTTTTATTGTTTCTTTTTTGTCTTACTTTAGTTCTCAATATGAGCCCATCTACTTTCTGTGTTCTAAAAATAGGTATAAATATTTCCTCTTCAGATGACCCACTCTTTTTACTTATGAATTTGGGTATATTCCCTTTTACATGTTTATTCTTTTAGTTAGGAGCACACCTAGAAGAGATGGGAGTGAATATATAGCCCTAGGACACAGAAGTTCACATGTACATACTACAAATTAAAAAACTGACAGCATTACTAAAGCTTTATGTAGAAGGCAATCTTAACAGGAATAAATAAGTGAATAAAGAACCTTTAACGTGGGCTGGGCTCATGCTCCTGGAATCAAAGAAAAAACATATTTCGATGTTTGTCAAAGAGCCCTATTAGCCTCAGAGAAAGCAGAGAATTTCTCTATTCTCAGGTTTTCAGAGACAGCTTTCTTGGTGTGGAAGTGTGTCCTTCAGGACATGTCTTCCCACCCAGAGCTACTCTTTGCCGCATAGCAGCACTGCTCTCCTGTTACAGACTTGCTCTCTGTTTTCCTCCAGGGTTTCACGAGCATCTTGGTGCATGAGCACCAGGCAAGGGAAGTACCTTTGCCATCTTCCATCACCACATGCAGCACTGGGCCACCCAAAACTCAGTCTGAGGTAATTGGTCTGATTCCGAAGACTCTCATGAACTTGAATTTCACATCAGATAAGCTTTTCAGATCCTGATTTCTCATTGAAGTAGCTTGTTAATTTACTCTTATGTGGCACCTCATTTGCAGAGGACTCTAGGACTAATACACCACCACAATTTAGGAAGGACAAACATGTTGTGTGGAAGTTTTGACAATAGTTCAGAAAACAGAAGGAAAACACTAATTAGTTCTCTGGGCCTTTTGTTCTGAAGGTGACCTCCAGAGGGCGGTGTTGTGCAAATTTAGAGAGCTTGTGGATCAGTATCATCTGCTCAGTTCCCCTCCCTGCAGCTGGCTGAGTACTTTACAGACAGAGATAGGTGACTAGAATCATACGTCAGAAAGCTCCAAGCTTATCTAAGCCTGCCCTTCCCTACACCTCTTACTTCCAAGGGCTTGGTTTCTGCAGCCACTTTCCTGCCAGCTCTGAGGAGATTTTTCCAGAAAATAGCCCAGAGCGCTTCTACGGCTCAGCCATGCTCCCATTGCTTTTCTCAATACTGGGGATGATATTTGTCATGAGTGAGTAAAATTTCATCATAGTCTGTAGTTCTACAGATTCTGACTAGAAGTACTTACTTCTCATAGCAAAGTCGGTACTGCTTTTGCTAATAAAACATTGATTTGCAGGAGATGCCAGAGCCCAGTCAGTGAGCCAGCCGGACCACCACATCAGAGTCTTTGAAAGAGCCTCACTGGAGCTGAGGTGCCAGTATGTCTATGCTGCAACTCCTTCTCTCTTCTGGTACGTCCAATACCCCAGGCAAGGCCTCCAGCTTCTCCTCAAGAACCTCTCAGGAAAGACGCTGGTTCAAGACATTCACAGCTTTGAGGCTGAATTTAAGAAGAATGAGTCTTCCTTCAACCTGAGGAAATCCTCAGCCCATTTGAGCGACTCGGCTGTGTACTTCTGTGCTCTGAGTGACACAGTGCCTGAGACTGCAGGGGGAGCTGAGCACAAACCACTCATCACAGTGGAGTTTTCAGAGACTTAAGATCTGTTCCTGTGGTATCTTTAAAGATCTTATGCTATCTGATAGCAAATGAGGCAAAGAGAGTTGCGCAGACCCAGGTACTTTAAATAATTCCACAATCCCTTGCCTGGTAAACATTATTTCAAAAGCTTCCTGCTCTTTATAGCACCTACATGATAATAGTGTTCTAGAATGATGAGGGCGACATTGTGCCTATCACATCGTAATTTTATTTGCCTTGAGGTTGACGACTTTAAGGGATTTACTCTGTGGGTTTTTATTCATTATTTTCTCTTTTTCTCAACCCAGAAAACAAAAGGTAAACCCCTCAAGTTATTTTCTTGTAAGTTTGCCTCTACTTGGTCATTCTCAGATAAATTTTTTTGGGGTAATATTTTCCCCCGGGTCTCTCTATGCCAGTCACAATGTGTCAGAATATTTTCTCTGAGTGTAAGTACATCTAGTCAGGAATTTTGAAAAAATATTGATCAATAGTAAGAGATTGATAACATGTGTGAAGGGCTTTGAAAACTGTCATGGTCATGCTAATTCTGGCAACTATTTAAGAACAGAGTGGAAAGGGAATAAAGATATAGAGGTCATCATTATTTGTTCAAACACTTTTTCTCGGTTATATACATAGCTTTCTAGACTTTTAATATCTTAAATTCTTTAAATCCACACCAGAAATTTGTGGGTATAATTCATTTTGCTGCTTTCTTCCAGCTACAGACATTTTTCTCTTGCCTTCATGCTAACTTTGCATGATTTCACTGTTGGAATATTAGAGGAGGATTCTGATATGTTAACATTGTCAGAATTAATCACATAGTAAGTTTAGCATTGCCAAACTCTGCTAGAAATATCGATTAAAATTATAGTGAATAGTAGGTGTTCAATGGACCCAATTTAAATTTATTGTCCAGTTTAAACATTTTTGTTTATGATGGAAAGAACTGAATAAGAAGCTGCTATAGTCCTTGTGTTCTTAAAGCCTTGCAGAGTAACAAATAATTTGGAGGAAGAGAAGGAGGAGGAGGAGGAGGATCTACTATTAAGCTTACACTGTAATGTATAAAAAGAGATATGCATAGGAGCCCACTAAATATAAAGATATTAAGTAGATTGTGACCAATAGGTCATCTTAGTCAAATGACAAAGCAGGAGATGAAGAGTAATTTTTAAGGCATAGTGATATGGTTATATGTAATTATGGGAACCCTATTCAGAGTACGTTGGATGTTCAAGGCCATTTTGAGTGTGGAGGCCCTGTCCAGAGTACACCAGATGCTCAAGGCTAATATGAGCATGGGAATCCTAATCAAGGCTAATTTCCCAGATTCAGGTGCAAAAGCAAGAATTTAGCAAGCTATACATTGACCCAAAAGACTGCTGTCACTATTTTGGCAAGAAGCCTCTTTTGTCTAAGTTAGGTATGTTACTGGCCAACCAGTGCGGGGCTGTGTTGTGGGAAAGACATATTACTGACCAGCTGGTGTTGGCTGTTTTTACTAGAATGGCTCCTGTGTTTGCTACTGTATTAGTAAGAGCTGCCTTTGTAAGGTTACTTTGAAGAACTGCTTTGTCTAGTGGCTCCTTAGTAGCAATGGCTACTTGGGCTGCAATAAAGACTCTCTTATATGCCTATGACTTCTTATGTCTTCTCTGTCCAATGTCCAGTGTCCAAGGAGGTCCAGCTCCTGGCAGAGGGACTCAGACACAACAGTAATACATGTGTTTGTGTCATTCTATAAGGTTATAAGCATGCAAAAGGGATGTAAGAAACATAGAATTATGCATAAGCAGTGTATATTCAATTAATGTTTCTTTCCCTTCTTCCTTTCTATTTTTGGACCAGACTCTCTTCTACATCTGACTATTTCCAGGTGACTCACTGTCATTGGCTCAGCTAGTTGCCCAAAGGGACTATGTTGGACGCTTTATATAGATTGCTATGAGGAGAATTGGCAGTCTCTTTTGATTTTGAACTCAAGAAGAGTGTGAAAAATAAGTTCTACACCAAGGACCTGAAGCAGCAGAGGGATCATATCCTTACTCCCATACCTAGCTCTGCCTGAGAAATCCAAATAGTTTTCTGTTTTCCCTCCATTTTCTTTCTTCCTTTTATTAAAAATTTGTTATTTATATAATAACAATTTTTATGAGATGATGTCTACAATAAAATTTTATAAGAATGAAATGAAGATACTGAGTTATTTATTAATGAAATAAATAATTCTTACTTCTCATGTGATTAACTGGTCTTACTAAATAACCCTCCACTCTGAAGCATCTGTCCTAATTGAAAGGTGGAAGAGCTTACTGGTGAGTGAGTTACAGTGTCAGCTGGGAGACAATATCCTGCCAGGATGGGACTTTGTTAACAGGATTCAGCATGTGCTTTGAATCAGAGACCTTTATGAGTACAACAAAGCCATCAAATATGGGCCTGGAAATCAAAAGGTGGATGTGGAGTGGTTCCTCTCATTATTCCTCCTTTCCTTTAACTCTCACTCTCTAAAAATCTATTGAATGGAATGATTGATCCAGATTAACAAGTGGAAATTGTTTTGCTTATACATAATAAAAGCAAGGCATACTCTGAGGCCAATGGTAAAGCTAATAGAGAATGTAGCAACCAAAATGGAAATAGAACAATTAAATACAGGTCTTTTTGAAATAAAAGTTTGTATCATCAATTATGCAACGAGCCTAGACCAACACAGGTTTTCCTGAGGGTAGTGGAAATATGAAGTTGGAATGGCTGCAGGAAGTCATTGTGATCCATGACAAAAACAAAAACTATTATACTTTTGCATATTTTTAATTTGCTTATTTGCTTGTTATATATGTACGTGCCAAACATTTCTCCTCCCATTTATATTTTTATTTTATATACAAGTTATTGGAAATAATCTTAAGGTAACAGAATTTTCAGAGGGAATTTGAATTTGAAAGAGTTATTTATGTAGTCAGTGATAGCACAATTGTAACTGTGCATTTTGTCACATTGGGGAAAGGGCGAGAAGTTCTTGTAAGAAGGGTAGCTGTATCCATATGTGTTTCATATATATGTAAAAGATTCCATATATATATATATATATATATATATATATATATATATACACACACACACATACACACACACACACATATGTATATATTAGGTCTAGTAATAATTAATGTCGTTTTCTAATACTTTTTTAAATCGAATTTATTTAAACAATACAACAAAATTTAATCAACAATATAGTTGCCGTTGTTTTCTACTACTTGTGCCCAACACTCAGGAAGCATTTTAATTCCTCTGTTGTAAAATTCTTGAGATTTTGATGCAAAAAATTCGGTCAATGCATTTTTGAGGCATTCTTCATTATTAAATTTTTTTCCAAGAAGAAAGTTTTGCAAAGAACGAAACAAATGGTAATCAGAAGGGGCAATATCAGGAGAATATGCAGGTTGAGGGAGAACTTCCCATTCCAACTGGCGCAGTTTTTCAGCAGTGATTCTTGCAGTATGCGGTCCTGCGTTATCGTGGTGAAGAATTACGCCCTTCCGATTAATCAGCGCGGGTTCTTTTTCTCTTAAAGCTTGGGCTAACCTTTCCAATTGGGCACTATACACTGCACTTGTAATGGTTTGGTTAGATGGTAAAAGTTCATAATGAAGAATTCCTTTAAAATTCCACCAAACACACAACATCACTTTTTTCGCATGCAAGTCAGGTTTTGGCGTGGGCTGCGGAGCCTCATTTTTGTCCAACCATTGAGGCCGCCTTTTCAAATTAACATACAGCACCCATTTTTCATCTCCGGTAACAATTTGCTCTAAAAATGGCAAATGGTTTTGACGAGAGAGGAGCGAACTACAAATTGTGACTCTTTGATTACAGTTGTTGTCGGTCAACTCATGAGGAACCCATTTTCCAAACTTTTGGACTTTGCCAAGTGCACGCAATTGATTGGAAATTGTTTTTAGTGAACAATTTAAAGTTGTCGCAAGCTCTTGTTGGGTAATTTGAGGATTTTGCACCAAAAGAGCTTGAAGAGCTTCTTGATCAAAATTGGACACACGGCCTCCACCACTCTTGTCATCTAACGAAAAATTTCCCTTGCGAAATTTCTCAAACCAACGCTGGCATTTTCTGGCTCTAACTGCATCTTGACCAAGAGCACTACAGATGTTTTTTTGCAGCCTCACTTGCTTTTCTTCCTAACTGGAACTCGTAAAGCATGCAGTGCCGAATATGCTCTTCATCTGCCATCTTCTTAGCCCTAGTTTTGCAACAAAAACCAAACCAAACACAAACTTTTTCAAGCAAAACTTGTTAATTGCACTTCACACGTTCTGTAGATACCACGTGTTTGAAGGTTATGTCAATACAAGTCAACGCCAAGCAAGATTTTAAACGAATGTTTAAAAACGACATTAATTATTACTAGACCCGAGATATATATATATATATATATATATATATATATATATATATATATATATATGCTGAGTAGTTAAATTGATTTATTGACCCTTAGCTCCCAATTCACCATTTGCTTGTTCTATGACAATAGACATAGACCCTTCAAGTATTTTCGTTGGCCAGTGGCACAATGCTAAACTTCGTTAGTAGAGGGTACAGAAGGAAAAGATCCCCCACCCCCCACCCCGATTTCTGTTTACCCTCTTGGCAGGATTGTGCAGCATGGGAGACTTTGCCAGTGAGCAGCTTACACAGTGCACCTGCACCAGGTTCCTGCAGCTTCCCCCAGCATCCCATGCTTATGGTTTTGTTGAAAAGTGCCTCCAGTGAGACATCTTTTCCAAACTCAGGGAGGATGGTTTTGTGGTGTAGGGGTGGAACAAAGTTATCTCTATCTTAAGGTTCTTGTAGCTGTTCTGACATCAGATAGGCATGAGACACACTAACAAGAGTAAATAACTAAATGTAGTATACACGTATGTAAGAGAACCTTACATATATGAGAGTCAGAGATCCCACATGCAGGAGACGTTCAGACAACAGAAGGGAACATGAGTATATAAGACACTGGACCTAGGGATGAGGTGAAATGCGTTAGGCCGGGGCTTCAAAATGTCCTATAGGATGATAAATAATGTGAACTTCTATTTAGTAAACAGAAGTTTGTCCTGCCCTATACTGTACATAGGTCAAAAGAGATTATCTCTGTTAATTTGAGTTCTCCTAGGTATTTAAAGGGAGGGGCAGAAGTTTCTCATGAGCCTGAAGCTAAATTATCTTTAGAAAAGGTATCTTTTCCTCTTTATAATCAACTAGAGGGCCAGTGCATTAAATTTGTGCACAGAGGGAGGGGGTG